CGTCTTGAGGTCAAACTCAAGGCCTTGGACCCCCAGGACTTAGTAGACTTACCCGAGACGATAGCTACGTTCGATGACGCAAATCGAGCGATAGCGAGTCTCCGAGAAACTATTACTTCCGCAGTCACAGACTCGGAACGGACGGTGAAACTGTCGGGCGACCGACGGTTTAACTTTCCACCCGACCTAAGACTGCTAATTAGACAGAAAAATGCAGCCAAACGCGCCTTCGACCGATACCGATCGGAATCGAACCGAACTCTACTTCGACGCCTTCAGCTAGAAGTCAAAGATCGTGTATCGGAACACCGACATAAAACGTGGGACACTCTCCTAGAGGACATCGAGCCATCGCACACCGCCTACTGGCAGTTGGCCCGCAGTCTGAAAGCAGACCCCCGCGAATCTCTACCGCCGTTAATTAGACCTAATAGCGCTTCAGTAGCCCTAGATGACTCCGAAAAAGCCGAATGCCTTGCGGACAACCTAGAGCAGCAATGTACGCCATCGCGCGAACACACCGATACAGTCCATCTAACGGAGGTGGACCGCGTAATCGAGACTAGGGCTGCGCTTCCACCGGAAGGCGAACCTTTAAATTCAGTGACCCCCGAAGAGGTCCAAGATATTATTAAAAATTTAAAACCGAAATCCGCCCCGGGCCCAGATAATATAAGTAATAAAATTCTCAAAGCTCTCCCTGGGCCGCTTATCTGTTTACCGGCGACCATTTTCAACACTCTACTCTCCAGTTGCTCCTTTCCGGACGACTGGAAACAAGCTACGGTTATCGGCATTCGCAAACCGAATAAACCAGCTAATCAGCCCTCTAGCTATCGTCCCATCAGCCTCCTCAGTTGCCTGGGGAAGCTCTACGAGCGGCTCTTGTTAAAGGCTCAAAGGCTCAAAGAGCACGTATTTTCCAACGGCCTTCTGCCGACGGAACAATTCGGCTTTCGAGCTAGACACTCTTGTCCCGATCAGTTATACCGCCTAACGGAGCACATCCTAAAAGGCCTAAACCACCCGAAACATATAAGTACAGGGGCTCTTTTCTTCGATGTCGCAAAAGCATTCGACAAAGTCTGGCACAACGGCTTGCTTTACAAGCTGTACACTCTCAAAGTACCAGATAGGCTCGTAAACACCATCCGGGCCTTTTTGTTGAATCGCTCTTTTCGGTATCGAGTCGAGGGCACCCTCTCCACAAGCCGCCGCCTCACAGCCGGCGTACCACAAGGCTCCTGCCTCTCACCTTTGCTCTTTACGCTCTACACGAGCGACATACCCAAAGACCCCCACGTCAATCTCGCGCTTTTCGCGGATGACACCGCGCTCTTTTATTCAGACCGCAACCTTAGAATAACCTAACCTAACCACTAGACTCCAAAGCGCCGCCGACCGCCTCGGCGATTGGTTCCGCAAATGGAGAATAGAAAGAAATCCCGAAAAGAGTGTGGCGATTCACTTCACACGAAGTACTTACCCGTCACATCTTTATAAAGGCCCTCGCCAATGCAGAAAGTTGGGGCAAATATCCCTTTATGGCCAACCGCTCCCCTGGGAGAAAAAGGTCAAATACTTAGGAGTCACATTCGACTCGCGTATGTCATTTACTACGCACATTAATAACGTTCGTAATAGAGCCGCGTTCGTCTCCGGCCGGCTACACAATTTAACTAACGCTAAAAGTAAAATGCCCTTAAGGCACAAATTATTATTATATAAGACCTGTGTACGACCTATTATGTCCTACGCATGCATGATCTCTTCGCCCACACGCACCCTACTCGCTTGTACAAGCTGCAAATAGTACAAAATAAGTTCATCCGCTGTGCAACCGGTGCGCAGTGGTACCAACGCAACGTCGATCTGCACAGCGATTGCAGACTCCCGACGATTCGCGAATATTTTAAAGATTTGACAAAACGGTTCTTCGATAGAGCCGAACATCATCCCACCCTCTGGTGGTAAGCGCAGCAAATTACCAACCCGACACAAACGCGAACGTTAACAAGCGTCGCCCGCGAAACGTCCTCATCGACCCGGTCGAGGAAGGGGACTTAGATACGCCGGACCCACCGCCGGGGGTCCCGCCGGATAACACTACACCCACAGCTAGTGTAACAACAAACACAATAGTTCGCCCTCGCCTCCGAGCACGGCGAGACCAACACAATGCGTACACAAGGTACACCCGCGTTCCAGGGCGGTTCTCACCGCCCCCAGCCACCGATTAGCTAAAAACACAGTCGACGGCCATCGGGGTCTCGGTCCGCACCGTAACTTCGATGGCCCTTAGATGACATGTCGTAGTTAAACGCACGCATGAGCACATGCGCGGCCCTACCCACATCGGAGGGCCCAAACCCGTGGGTTCTGGCTAGCCCACCGGTTCTGCGTCAGATGAAGCTTTAATAGTCTCGGGACTGAAAGCAAAAACATCAGTTAATACAAGACAAGATACAAGATATTATTAAGTATATTTTTATTGTTTTGTTTAGCCTTGAGCCGTAACGGGCGACAAAGCGCGTAGTTAAGTAATTTTGAATCTTAACAGCATGGAAAAAAACTTTGTTGCATTTAAATACGAATTACGGTATTAACGATGTCTTTAAATTTTGTTTAGCCTTGAGCTGGATTGCATTGGTACCTAGCACGTAATAGTAAGGGATGCCAACTTACTACTTAAGAATTTTCTGCCTAAATTAAGGAAGAAAAATATAAATGGAGATTTTTTAGGAGGTAAATTTTTTGTGAATATTTTTATTAGTTAAATTTAATTCATATTTTTGGAAAAAAATAAAACTACACAAAAAGAAAAATATAATTTAATAGTGCTGTGCTGCTTGGGTGGAAATCAGACCAAGGCTTATGTGCTTTGTGTGTATATTTTAAATTCTTCCGCCCTAAGTTATAATACTGAATGTATTATTTCTTACACAAATTATAAAAATATTGTCACTCATGATTGCGTGTTCTAAAAATATGTTTAAGTCTATTATTAAGCGATATATAAGATGTTAAAATAAATCATTTTTATATTACTTCAATTTGTATTTTTTATGAAATTTTTAAGTTAATCAGGAAATGTTTTAATTTTACCTTAATAGTATAAAAAAATCGTGATTTTAAAATCAGTAAGTTTTTTGAATTTAGTCAATTTGGGTGAGTTTTCGAATTTATTTAGAAGTATTCTTTTTGAACAGTTGGTATCACGGGTAATAGCTTTAGTTATGTATAGGTATAATGATCGTCGAACAAGACTTTCGACGAATAAAGGCAAACAGCTTACGTTCGTAAACGTGAATTTAAACCCGGAGGAATCTAAATAATTATTAACCCACTAATAATTGTAAATATATAACGTTAAGTTTGAAATATTAGGAAAATTATGTACATAGAATGAATCAATTTTTAAATACGCCTGCACAATTTATATTTATAATAAGTATAAAATAATGTTAAATTTTTTTTTGTTTTTTTTTTTAGAATTCAAGGTGGATACGGGACCGTAAAATATCTAGATATTAAAATACATAGTTTCGAAATCTGATATTTGAAATCGAAATCTGATTCAGATACGGTACTCAGAAAAAGCGATACTACCCATCTCTAGAATGTAGAAAATGTTCGAGAAACGAATGCTTTAAGGAAAAATTATCCATTCATAATGAATTTTTTGTAGCAACTAATTAATTTTCACAAAAAAACGGACCTAAGCTTGTCGTCTTTTTTTCTTCACTATTAGAAATATAAATAGAGAAAGTAAATATTTTACTAAGTATGCTAGGTATTCATTCCATTATGGGACTTATGAAATTATTTCGGATAAAATTCAAAAGCTATGCATCGTTTCCTGTGGTAATAACATCCTGTGCTATGGTTTCTATTATAAACCCTTCTGGTTACAACTGCAACGGATGAAAATGCTTTTTTCGTAATACTGACATTGATTACGAAAAGCTCGGTGATACGAAAAGACGGATGATATCCTTCTGATATCAGATAAGTCACTATTTCACACTCTATATAGCGGCATAAAATCTAGAAAAAGTGAAATCTTCTTCGCTTCGGATGATTTAATAAGTAAATTTTCCGAAAAAAAAGGGAGAAAAGTGTATACTAATTCCAAGCGAGGTTTTTGTTCCTTTGGTGAAAAATCTTTACTCTTCATTTGGGCTGATACGATTTTGACTTGTGGGCCCGTCTAAGGCAATCTACGCCACTGCTGCTAATCTTTATAGTTAGTTTAGTCTATATAGTTTTAGTTCATGAAACCTATTGAAAATAAAAAATACCTATTTCTTTATTTTTGCTATTTAGTTTTTTGCAGATCGCATTTTATTTTCCTCATCCATCCCTGTATTCTGCGTAATCTGTTTAAGTCCTATTAAAATGACACTTACAAGATTTTAACTAGATAAACATAAACGCTTATACATATCTATAAATGTGAAGTGAATAAAATGCTTGTTTAATTAGATCAATTCCTTAAACTAGGGGCCTTAGGGGCATCATTTAGCTTTACCGCCCCGGGCCTCTGAAGGCCTTAGTTCGCCACTGCATAGGCTATTTTTTAATTGGAAAAAGGGTTATAAAGGGTTCTTAGAGGGGATAGATATATATTTAGGGGGTTCAACGCAAGCGAAGCCACGGGCGAAAATAGGGTTAGTATATAATATGTCTTCTTCATTAGATATTATTATTTATTACATTTTTTTTTGCTAACATCAGATGACAAATCCAAAAAAGTACATAATATGTTCTCTTGTGCTGATTTTTGTACCAAATAACTTTCATTAGTGAATCTCACACATCAAAGTCACATCAGTTCCTTTTGAGATTAAATAAATATTAAATCTCTTCTATCTTATTGCTTTATTAAAAAAAATCCAAAAATATATGCACATATATTTGGTGATGATACACAAATAAGTGACACCAAAATATGTTAATAAATAAAAGAATGAACTAAAATGAGTCAAACAAATACATACCCTCCTTTTAAGTCTATAGATGTGAGAACACCATCACCGCCAGCACATACTAGATACTTTTGAGTGTCATTTGTAATCATTTCTGACACATATTCCTCACCAATTTTTATACTAAACAGTGGATTGCTTTTTCTTAAATCCCATAATTTTACAGTTCCTCCATCATCACCTTAAACAAGTACCATAAACCTTACTGATTGATTGCAAATTAAGTTCCCTTTATTAAAGATGACAATTACTAATTCTAGCCTTACAGATTCTTTAGCATGTTCAGTAAAATATAAGTAACTTTTTATTGAACTTGATTTTATAAAGAAATTCACTGTACATGTAGCTCTGCTCTCCATTAAATTTGTCACTATAATTATTTTTATGTACAGAAATCTTAACTCTTTGATCATGTTACATGTTGTGCAATAATAATAAGTGTTGAGTTGAAGATCATTAAAATGATTAATAGCAATATGTATGATAAAGAAAAATCGCTATTGAAACATTAAATCCAACCTGTCACAAATTTATCATTTCCTAAACAAAGTAAACTGTAGATTGCCTCCTCATGAGCATTTTCATAGCACTGTTTTAACTTCCCGGTTTCTATATCTGTGACTATAATTGCTTTATCCTGTAAATTATTTAAAAATTATCATTAAAATAGTCATATAAAGAATTTTTAACAAGATCATTATTAAAACTAACAATGTATTCAATAAATTTGAGTAATTATGGACTCATAATAAATATATACAGCGTGTAGTTACCATCGCGACAATAAATGAACACACGTCTAACGCTACTTGCCAGTAATCATAAAAAAATATTAACGTTAAACAAAATCCATAATTAAAAAAAATATTTTCCAAACAAACTAATTAAGTAAAAAAGAAACAAAATTTGTAACATCCAACTCGCGCCACAGCGTCTCATTACAAGCCTCTCCTTCTAACAGTATGTTTTGTCTCTTTTAAATTCATTCAACCCATTCATATGCTTTGTGACCTTTACTAATGAACTTTACGTTACAGTTCCATACGTAAGGGTGTTCTAAAATTTTTTGTTTTGGAAAATTTTATAACTCGGTAAATATTGATGTTTAAAGAATGTAAACATTGAATACAATTTTAAAAAGTTATCCTCTATATGTGTGTTCATTTATTGTCGCAGTGGTAATGATACGCTGTATATACAATACATAACATACACATAATATATAGTAAAAAAGATAGAAAACAAGTACAATATACCAGAAGAAGAACATGTTATGCGGAACACCCAAAGAGGGATTGGCGCGGACATTGTAAGGTAACGAGTTCCAGTAACACACGGCGTGCACTGTAAAAGAGCCGCCAAAAGAAAAGAGAAGGTATCAGATCTCACGATAGGGTTGATATACCCATGACGTTCACGTAGGTACTGAAGAGCCGCATGATTTTTAAGAATTGAGTAAAGTGTGGATACAACAAGCACATCTCGACAGCTAAGTTAGAAATGTGATCGTATTTTCGCAACCCAAAAATGAAGCGTATACACGTTTGTGTACGTGTATACGTATGCGTACGTGTGTACACAACCAGACTGCGTAGAATAAGTAATTCTTATAAGAGTCAATGTACATAGGTTTTTACAACAAAATACCAGAACAAATTCAAAATGTATTAATTTCCATATTCAAAAAAAAATTAAGGAGCGTTTGGGTGTATTATTATATTAGTGATTATTTAAATGATTAAATTTTGTAGAAAGGTACGAAAATAATGTCGCCTATGTGGTAATCGAACCCACGTCTTCGGCATTCGCGGCCTGACGCTTTAGCCACTAAGCTAAACGGCTGATAGCCACACCATCATTTGCTGTGATTTTGGTCAAATACTGGCCAGATTCTTGTTCATGTTGTTTGTATCTTTGTCAAGCAGATAAAAACAATAATGAAACTTAATAATGAATTTTGCGAATTTCTAAATAAATGTCAATTATATTATAGTTGTTTGTGGATATAACCAGCAGATTACTTTTAACGAGGATACATGCTTACCTTGCCAGCTGTAAACATAATATCTCCAGTATCATCAAATTCAACATCTCTGCAAGCCTTGACATGCAATTCAAATGTATTTACCAATTTGGTTTCATCATTATTATATTCATATAACAAAACATCACCCATTATATTTGCCAAGGCAATTAAATTTTTTGAAGGGCTAAATGATATGTCAACAATAAAATCTTCACAAATAATGGCTGGTGGGTGGTCCCTAGGTTTTGTCTTTTCTGCTTTTATGGCTTTAACCACTTCATCTTCTTCATTTTCATCTTCGTCTATATCATATTTTTTATTCTCATCTTCATGATGCGGCAACTCCACATCGGATGTATCTGATTCATTATCTTGCTCATCATTGTTATCACTCTCTATTGGACCTAAAATATGCATAGATTTACAAGTTATAGCTGTTGCATGAACTCAAAGTTTAATCCCTGTTTTAGAAATAAATCTATACTAAAAACTATTTAGATGTTCCTTGGTTACATTTTACAAACTAATCTGTGCCAATAAAATGAACTGCAACATATTAGAAAATGTGAATACTGTATTTTGTCTGAACATTAATTGGATTTGCCTTAGTTTACAGTAGCACGATTTTCATGAAAATTTTGGGTTTAATAGGTAGGTAATAAGCCATTGAAGTAAATACTAGGATTTTTTGTGGAAATTCATTCAATTTTTTAAGTTTTATAGATTAACTACTAGGAATCGTTTAGAACAGTTTTAGTATTGTTTCGTATTTCGGCGCAAAATATTTACATAATTAAATTCTAAAACATTAGAAAGAGGCAACTTAATGATTATATCATCTTTTAACATATGTTATTTCACACAAAATTATTTTTGGCTTACGGTAAAAAAACGGGGGGGTTAAGGAGGTTCGTACCACGCACTCTTAACGCATTTTTTTCCGCCGGAGACGCGTAAAAATTTTAATTAGCTATTTTTTTTAATTTAAAAATCTTACGAAACGTGAAATGGAACATAACACATTTTGATAAATTTCAGTGTTTTCGAACGAAGATGCGAATAATAAAATAAAATAAAGGATAGAGAAAAATCACTCATGAATTAATCAACAAGCAGAATTCTCAGGTTGCATTCAGTTTATGAGAAGAAAAAATTATTTTTATAACTTGTTACTTTCACTAAGAAAGTACGCACATTTTATTAATTTTAATAAAACTGAATACACAGTACTGTCAACATGATAAATATAGGACGTGGGAGACTTTCCTACCGTTTGTTTGATCAGTTTTTTTTTTAAATTATATGAGTTGCTGATCCGACACTGAGCAACCTGACTCAGACAGATTAGGTTAGAAGGTTTTTATAACCACCCATTAGCGCTTCTATTGTTAAGTCTGGTTAAGATCTACAGGCAGGAGGGGAACCATCCCCCTTCACATTCTTTTTAGATTCTATTAAATAAATAAAAATAAAAATTGTATGATAAAAAAACTATGCGACTCGGGGGGGGGGGCGGGTTGCACGTGGGGGGTGACTAACCACACCCCACATCCCCGCACGAAGGCGACTAAAGTTGTACCCTAAGTCTTTATTGTATTCTTTGAATTTATCGGAATATGCAGGAATTTATATTTGAATGATTTATTAAATAATTAAGCTATAATATCTTCCCTCCTTGTATATTAAATATTTTTGTCAATAAAGAAAATAAAAGTATTCTTGAATCAATAAACTAAAAGGACTAACCTAAATCCATAAAATCTTCATCTGTTAATTCTGTTTCACTGTCATCTGATGAATTTTTATCAAAATCACGAAAATCGATCCCCATTACTAGTATAAATTACAAGTAAAGTATTTAATATTATTAGACAAGAAACGAAATCGAATGCAACAAACTAATAATCTAGCAATGGTCGTTTTTCTAACAAGTAACAACAACGATTTTGACATCCGATGTCAGATGACAGTTTGGGTGTTGCGATCAGAGAGATAAGAGAATTTATTTAAACTTTCTGTACAATACAAACATTTAGTATCTGGAGGACCGAGCTTTGCTCGGTTTGTTTTTTTTTTTTGTAAATCGTGTATTTTGGAAATTACATTCAGATACAAATTACTGAGTAATGAAGTACTGAGTATTTTTCAATCTTACCGACCTAATACTATGAAACTATGAAGTGGTGTTTTTCACAAAAGAAACAACATTAAAAAAATGAAAAAAAAAAATAACAAAATCATCTGGATCAACAAAAAAAAAGCAATGATCTGGAATCGAAAAAAAAATTAAAAAAAGATTGTGTAAACGATCGTGACAAGAACCACGGCCGTCTGTTTTGGGGCCGCCTGATTACCGACCGAGCTGTTATAACATTTTCTTTTACGGCGAAATTTAGCGTCATATTCGAATGATATTTTTTCATGCCCTGAAAACAGGGATAAAAGGACATTTTCTAAAAATGAAAACTAGCTAGATCGATTTTTCGCCCCCGAATCTACGCACATACATATATAAATAAACATAAAATATACATACTTTATAATATAATTAACGATTCAGAGAATCTGCTGACAGTTTTTTTAAGGAAGTGCTCGCAAGTTATTCTTTTTAATGCGGAGCGACATTTAGCTGTCTTGGTTTTGAGAGGCAGCGCGTTCCACAAAATAATGGACTGAACAAAGAAAGACGAGTGCATGAAACCAGTACGATGAGAAGGACATTGGAGAAGACGGTTATGTGTCGATTGTACTAAGATATTGAAAATGAGGCGATAAATAAGACGGAGTAGAAGAAGAATTAAAAAAAGAATAAAGAGTGGTTAGTGCTCTTAAGGATCGGCGTTGGCGAATGGGCAACCACTGAAGTTGGGAACGATAGTGAGACACATGGTCATACTTACGAAGATTGAAAATGAATCGAATGCAGTTATTCAGAAGACTAGTTTGTTGAGGTGATCTGCATTCAGGTAAGTATTTTTAAATTTAAATTTGCATTTTTTTGCATCCTCCGGCCGTAGCCTTCATAATTGGCGCAGTCGGTAGGTAGACAATTAGAGTCAGTGAATCGATCACGGGCGTTGGTTATTCGAACCTACAAGAGCTGCTGCCGGGAGGAGTTTCCAGACATCGAAACGAGCAGAGAAGTGCAAATGTATCGGTGAGTACCAAAATCTTACTAGAGTTGCTTTCCTTTTTTATTCCTTTACGTATCCAAGATTTTTCATCCAAGAAATTCACGGACCCTTCGGTTAGGTAGCTTACGTAGAAGTTTGCAGCTAGATTGCAATAGAAATTTAAATATACTCATAGAAGATAGCGAATTACTGGATTGCGATTACGAAACATTAGCATCAGACTCTGTCAAAATGAGCGGTGCACTTATAGATCAGATCTACAAAGCCCTTAGATTACTTCCCGAGTTCGATGGAAATCCAAACGTCCTCACTCGTTTTATTAACTTATGCGAGCAACTAGTGAAACAATATGTTCCGAGTATGGACCGATGCCAATTTTTCTTTAAGTAACTTAGCTTTATTAAATGGGATCCTAAACAAAGTAACAGGTCCCGCGGCACGTACTATCAATTCAAACGGTATCCCTGAGACCTGGATCGGGATACGGAACGCTTTAATTAACAATTTCGCAGATGAACGCGATGAGACCTCACTTTATAACGATTTGGCACTCCTGACACAAAGCTCTGATACACCTCAGGAATTTTACGAAAAGTGTCAAAACCAATTTAGTATTATAATGACGTATATTAATTTGCACGAGACTGTACCGAGTACAATAGAATCGAAACGACAATGGTACAAAAAGTTGACACTTCAGGCCTACCTTCGCGGCCTTCGCGAACCTTTAGGCTCTAATATACGGTGTATGTGACCCGATACGATAGAAAAAGCGTTAGAATTCGTTCACGAAGAAAGGAATATTTTATATATGCAGCAACGTAACGATCACCTGCCTGAAAGAAAGTTGCCGTCTACGTTTTCTTTTAATTTACTGAAAGCCGCTTTTAATTCACAACTTATGCCGTCACCGCCCCCGCGAGCTTTTACATTTCCTACGAATGCTATTTAGTTCTATCTTCCAAGTACTATTGGCCGAAAATGAGAGAATGTATTATAAAATACATAAACGAATGTAGCGTTTGCGGCCAAGCGAAATACGATCGAAATCCTATAAAACAAAGATTTCTAATCGTGCCACCCCCGTCAAAACCATTTGAAATAATATAGACCTTGACCTTTTCACAACAGAGAATGAAAAATATCTTACAATAGCAAGCGTATCATCTTAGGGACGGTACGGCTCTTAGCGTTGTTCAAGCTCTTTTGATATTCTGTTCTCACCCCGGAGTTCCAATTACTTTAGTCACCGATCAAGGCCCCGAATTTACCAACCAAATATTCGTTGAATTTACCCGACTTCACAAGATCCAACACCAAAAGACCCTAGCTAATTCACTCAATGAAAATGGAATAGTAGTAGAACGATTCCACTCAACAATCCTTGAACATCTAAGGATATTAAAAATTGAAAAACGAAATGAGCCAGTAGTCAATTTAATGCCTTACGCAGTGCTAGCATATAACAGCTCTATTCATAGTTTTACGAAATGCAGACCTCTAGACTTAATAACCGGACACTTTGACCCACGTGACCCGATAGATATAAATATATCCGAACACTTACTACAACAGTACTTACGTGACCACAGACAACGAATGAAACAAGTATTCGACCTTATTAATGAGACTTCTTTACATGACAGGACTTTACTGACCGAAAATCGAAACAAAGATATGGAACCCGAAAAAGACTATGTCCCTGACCAACAGGTGTTCATACGGAATCCCCTGCACTAATAGGACGATCCATAGAGAATACTACGTCATGCCGTGTTGGATTGATAACTTCAACAATACCGCGATTATTATTTACTGTAGTAACGCAATCACGTATGGTACAGTTGGATAAAGCCTGTTCTGTTATTAATACGTCTCCGTCATGAAAGTTTATGGGGACTCGAATCATTTGGGATGTATTGGCCGGTATAATTCTCTCATACAAATTACAGTTCCGGGAATCATACATACGCAAAGGGTTGGTAGATTTCTGTGTAATTAAGGCTTTATTTTTAAGATCTATGGTTGATTCTAATTTTTCTAACAAATCGTAACCAATTAAACCGTCAAAGAAGTCGTGAAATTTATAAATGAAAAGGGGTATGTTATGGATGGGCCCTCATCTTGTGTTTCTTCTATTTGTACTGGGGCATATTCGGAATGTTGCTCGTATAACGGGTCGCATGAATGTTCAGGGTAAACCGGGTCGCAGTAGTCGGTATAATTATAATTGTCATTATAGTCATTATAAGGGTCGTAATAGTTGTACTGCTGATCATATAGTTCGTTAAAGTTCATTTCTCGCGTCTTGAAATAGTTAGATGGGGGTGGATTGCCGTGCCTACTCCAGTCATGTCCTGTCACTGTTCTATTCGGAAAAGGTTTTGCTACATAGTGGCTCACACCACTCATAGGCTGAGGGCCTGTTTTATTACTGGTTTGAAACCCTGGTCTTTGAGGTAATCTAAAAACGTTACTCTGGGGCCTATAGTTTGGAAGGGGTGCACTGAACATTTGTCGAGTTCGTGTCGGACCGTTGAATCGCGGCATTTGGAGTCTACAGCCTGGTATTGCTTTCGGTGGCTGTGCATTCATTGACTTAGAGGGAAAATACACTGTATGAGGAAACGTAAAAGCTCGCGGGGGCGGTGACGGCATAAGTTGTGAATTAAAAGCGGGTTTCAGTAAATTAAAAGAAAACGTAGACGGCAACTTTCTTTCAGGCAGGTGATCGTTACGTTGCTGCATATATAAAATATTCCTTTCTTCGTGAACGAATTCTAACGCTTTTTCTATCGTATCGTGTCACATACACCGTATATGAGAGCCTAAAGGTTCGCGAAGACCGCGAAGGTAGGCTTGAAGTGTCAACTTTTTGTACAATTGTCGTTTCGATTCTAATGTACTCGGTACAGTCTCGTGGATGAAAAATCTTGGATACGTAAAGGAATCAAAAAGGAAAGCAACTCTAGTAAGATCTAGGTCCTCACCGATACATTTGCACTTCTCTGCTCGTTTCGATGTCTGGAAACTCCTCCCGGTTCGAATAGCCAACGCCCGTGATCGATTCACTGACTCTAATTGTCTATCCTACTGACTGCGCCAATTACGAAGGCTACGGCTGGAGGATGCAAAAAAATACAAATTTAAATTTAAAAATACTTATTTATTACATAAAAATTACAAGTTAACTATTTCTAAGTGAAGTGACGGTTGCTCGAAGTGTGAGACAAGAGTGACGCTCGCTGCGATGCTTCGGACGGTCCCGGTGTCACCTGTGTTGCGCAACCACTTCGTATCCGTGGGATTACGGGCGACGGCACGTATCACGGAATAAGCAATCCCTTGAGAATGGAATGTGTAATGTTGTAGCTGGGTGGTTGCAGTGCAGGCGATTTCCGGGATGTATAATCGTGAAACAAATGACTACCGCATTATCAACAAGTTTGTTGTTGTTTTTAGGAATTAGAATGCCAAATTTAAAAAAAAAAAAGTTTGTTTTTATTTCAATAAAAGATAATACTACCGAGTCTGAACCTCCCGTGTGAATTTGTGCACCTTTATAAAAGCCACCCTGTATAATATATGATAATAAAAAGCAACGAAATGTACGAACAAAAAAGAATTTTGCAAATCCGTCTATATATGACGAAGGTATGCCGTTCGGGCATTCCTACATAAAAAAAAAATATAAACA